TCGATGCTGATGAGATTAAAAGGCTGGGAAAGAGGTTTAAGAAACTCGACCTGGATAACTCGGGATCCCTGAGTGTGGAGGAGTTCATGTCTTTGCCCGAGTTACAGCAGAACCCACTGGTGCAGAGAGTCATCGATATATTCGACACGGACGGCAACGGAGAGGTGGATTTCAAAGGTGAGGCGTCCATTACACAGACGAGAAACCATTCGATCGCACGGTGAACTAAATGCATTGTTTATTTAAAAGTGGAAACCTAATACGTTAAATGAATCTCGTGAAAACGTGCAGGTCACGTTTCTATGGAAGCTTGTTTCCCATGAAATAAAACATTTTTAAAAGATAATTGTGACTTTTTATCTCACAATTGTGTGATAAAAAGTCCGAATTGTGTGATAAAAAGTCCGAATTGCGAGATAAAAAGTCCGAATTGCGAGATAAAAAGTCCGAATTGCGAGATAAAAAGTCAGAATTGCGTGCTGTAAAGTCAGAATAATTGCGTGATATAAAGTCAGAATAATTACAAGATATAAAGTCAGAATAATTGCGTGATATAAAGTCAGAATAATTGCGAGATATAAAGTCAGAATAATTACGAGATATAAAGTCAGAATAATTGCGTGATATAAAGTCAGAATAATTGCGAGATATAAAGTCAGAATAATTGCGAGATATAAAGTCAGAATAATTGCGAGATATAAAGTCAGAATAATTGCGAGATATAAAGTCAGTATTGCGAGATATAAAGTCAGAATTGAGAGATATAAAGTCAGAATTGCGAGATATAAAGTCAGAATAATTGCGTGATATAAAGTCAGAATAATTGCGAGATATAAAGTCAGAATAATTACGAGATATAAAGTCAGAATAATTGCGTGATATAAAGTCAGAATAATTGCGAGATATAAAGTCAGAATAATTGCGAGATATAAAGTCAGTATTGCGAGATATAAAGTCAGAATTGAGAGATATAAAGTCAGAATTGCGAGATATAAAGTGAGAATAATTGCGAGATATAAAGTCAGAATAATTGCGAGATATAAAGTCAGAATAATTGCGTGATATAAAGTCAGAATAATTGCGTGATATAAAGTCAGAATAATTGCGAGATATAAAGTCAGAATAATTGCGAGATATAAAGTCAGAATAATTGCGAGATATGAAGTCAGAATAATTGCGAGATATAAAGTCAGTATTGCGAGATATAAAGTCAGAATTGAGAGATATAAAGTCAGAATTGCGAGATATAAAGTCAGAATAATTGCGTGATATAAAGTCAGAATAATTGCGTGATATAAAGTCAGAATTGCGAGATATAAAGTCAGAATAATTGCGAGATATAAAGTCAGAATAATTGCGTGATATAAAGTCAGAATTGCGAGATATAAAGTCAGAATAATTGCGAGATATAAAGTCAGAATAATTGCGAGATATAAAGTCAGAATAATTACGAGATATAAAGTCAGAATAATTGCGTGATATAAAGTCAGAATAATTGCGAGATATAAAGTCAGAATAATTGCGAGATATAAAGTCAGAATAATTGCGAGATATAAAGTCAGAATAATTGCGTGATATAAAGTCAGAATAATTGCGAAATATAAAGTCAGAATAATTGCGTGATATAAAGTCAGAATAATTGCGAGATATAAAGTCAGAATAATTGCGTGATTTAAAGTCAGAATAATTGCGAGATATAAAGCCAGAATAATTGCGTAATATAAAGTCAGAATAATTGCGAGATATAAAGTCAGAATAATTGCGAGATATAAAGTGAGAATATTTGCGAGATATAAAGTGAGAATAATTGCGAGATATAAAGTGAGAATAATTGCGTGATATAAAGTCAGAATTGCGAGATATAAAGTCAGAATAATTGCGAGATATAAAGTGAGAATAATTGCGAGATATAAAGTGAGAATAATTGCGAGATATAAAGTGAGAATAATTGCGAGATATAAAGTGAGAATAATTGCGAGATATAAAGTGAGGAGAATTGCGAGATATAAAGTCAGAATAATTGCGTGATATAAAGTCAGAATAATTGCGAGATATAAAGTGAGGAGAATTGCGAGATATAAAGTGAGGAGAGTTTCATAATATAAAGTCAGTATTGCGAGATATAAAGTGAGAATAATTGCGAGATATAAAGTGAGGAGAATTGCGAGATATAAAGTCAGTATTGCGAGATATAAAGTCAGAATTGAGAGATATAAAGTCAGAATTGCGAGATATAAAGTCAGAATAATTGCGTGATATAAAGTCAGAATAATTGCGTGATATAAAGTCAGAATTGCGAGATATAAAGTGAGAATAATTGCGAGATATAAAGTGAGAATAATTGCGAGATATAAAGTCAGAATAATTGCGAGATATAAAGTGAGAATAATTGCGAGATATAAAGTCAGAATAATTGCGAGATATAAAGTCAGAATAATTACGAGATATAAAGTCAGAATAATTGCGTGATATAAAGTCAGAATAATTGCGAGATATAAAGTCAGAATAATTGCGTGATATAAAGTCAGAATAATTGCGAGATATAAAGTCAGAATAATTGCGAGATATAAAGTCAGAATAATTGCGAGATGTAAAGTCAGAATAATTGCGAGATATAAAGTCAGTATTGCGAGATATAAAGTCAGAATTGAGAGATATAAAGTCAGAATTGCGAGATATAAAGTCAGAATAATTGCGTGATATAAAGTCAGAATAATTGCGTGATATAAAGTCAGAATTGCGAGATATAAAGTCAGAATAATTGCGAGATATAAAGTCAGAATAATTGCGTGATATAAAGTCAGAATTGCGAGATATAAAGTCAGAATAATTGCGAGATATAAAGTCAGAATAATTGCGAGATATAAAGTCAGAATAATTACGAGATATAAAGTCAGAATAATTGCGTGATATAAAGTCAGAATAATTGCGAGATATAAAGTCAGAATAATTGCGAGATATAAAGTCAGAATAATTGCGAGATATAAAGTCAGAATAATTGCGTGATATAAAGTCAGAATAATTGCGAAATATAAAGTCAGAATAATTGCGTGATATAAAGTCAGAATAATTGCGAGATATAAAGTCAGAATAATTGCGTGATTTAAAGTCAGAATAATTGCGAGATATAAAGCCAGAATAATTGCGTAATATAAAGTCAGAATAATTGCGAGATATAAAGTCAGAATAATTGCGAGATATAAAGTGAGAATATTTGCGAGATATAAAGTGAGAATAATTGCGAGATATAAAGTGAGAATAATTGCGTGATATAAAGTCAGAATTGCGAGATATAAAGTCAGAATAATTGCGAGATATAAAGTGAGAATAATTGCGAGATATAAAGTGAGAATAATTGCGAGATATAAAGTGAGAATAATTGCGAGATATAAAGTGAGAATAATTGCGAGATATAAAGTGAGGAGAATTGCGAGATATAAAGTCAGAATAATTGCGTGATATAAAGTCAGAATAATTGCGAGATATAAAGTGAGGAGAATTGCGAGATATAAAGTGAGGAGAGTTTCATAATATAAAGTCAGTATTGCGAGATATAAAGTGAGAATAATTGCGAGATATAAAGTGAGGAGAATTGCGAGATATAAAGTCAGTATTGCGAGATATAAAGTCAGAATTGAGAGATATAAAGTCAGAATTGCGAGATATAAAGTCAGAATAATTGCGTGATATAAAGTCAGAATAATTGCATGATATAAAGTCAGAATTGCGAGATATAAAGTCAGAATAATTGCGAGATATAAAGTCAGAATAATTGCGTGATATAAAGTGAGGAGAATTGCGAGATATAAAGTCAGTATTGCGAGATATAAAGTGAGAATAATTGCGAGATATAAAGTGAGGAGAATTGCGAGATATAAAGTCAGTATTGCGAGATATAAAGTGAGAATAATTGCGAGATTTAAAGTGAGGAGAATTGCGAGATATAAAGTCAGTATTGTGAGATATAAAGTGAGAATAATTGCGAGATATAAAGTGAGGAGAATTGCGAGATATAAAGTCAGTATTGCGAGATATAAAGTCAGTATTGCGAGATATAAAGTCAGAATTGAGAGATATAAAGTCAGAATAATTGTGAGATATAAAGTGAGAATAATTGCGAGATATAAAGTCAGAATAATTGCGAGATATAAAGTCAGAATAATTGCGTGATATAAAGTCAGAATAATTGTGAGATATAAAGTCAGAATAATTGCGTGATATAAAGTCAGAATAATTGCGAGATATAAAGTCAGAATAATTGCGCGATAATTATTCTGTCCATAATTATCCATAAATAATAGGCCTTATTTTTTTTTGTGGCATTTATAATTTTTTATTTTGCGCTGAAATATAACAAGTTTAGTCAAATTAACGCATGATGCCATGTTATGATTTGAATGCATTGCATTTTGAATCTAAAAATGTGTCTTTTTTTCTGAGAATATTGCATGCAGAAATGTGTGTATGTCCTCAAACTGTGAAATACTTCAACAAATGAGCTTAAAGTAGCTCAGACCTGTTGCATCACAGGTTGAAAAGAAGCCCTTTGTGTCCTTTGCCAAGAACATTCACATTCTATCACATGCTATTCACATGCTGATCTAGAGCTGCACGATTCTGGATGAATTGAATTGTTTGGTTTCGAATATAGATCACGATTCTGAACAGACAACTAAACAAAATAGCATTTCATTTACTAGATTCTGACAAAATGTTAGTTGCTGCAGTCCATCTAAAAAACATTGACTGTCCTAAAGCTTTGTCCTCTGCTGTCTACTCTTCTGCTACACACACAAAAACACGTATAATATTATGAGTAGGCGAACTCTGATGCATTATCAGTGTGTTTGAACGAATCTCTTGAGTGAATGATTCAATGACTCACTCATAAAGACTTCACTTGTTTTATTACTGGATGAATCAGTGATTTTGAACGAATCTCTTGAATGAATGATTCAATGAGAAATAGATTTTCAACAGTCACCCGTCGCCACCTACTGGTGTAACGATGTAACTGATACAATCTTTATTTGAAGCGTCAAGTTACTTTCAAAAGGTGATTTACTCTGATGTCTAAAGTGATAAAAATAGTGTTTATATCCGAAGTATAAACTTTTATCCAAGTACTTCTGTGATAATACGAATGATTGTAAGATATTGTAATAATAATGATACTGTGATGTTGAAAAGACGGTTTCATATCTATTCATGACAAAGACACACATCTGAATGTTCCTGTGATCGACTTATCAAAGGTTTAATAGAGAGCCGAATCTCTGTCGTTTAGGAATAAGATCGTGTGTGTGTGTTTGAACCGAGATCACGATCTGTTAATTAATCGTGCAGCTCTACATTCTTAATTTGTATCAAATGATCTCTTTATCATCAGCCCAGAGCTCATCAGTCGCTTTTAATAAAACGTGCGTTCTTTATTATCACCATAACATTCCAGCAATAACAAGCGTTACAGGATTAATACTCACTGGTGTTGTTCGTTCTCTAGAGTTCATCGAGGGCGTCTCTCAGTTCAGTGTGAAGGGGGATAAGGAAATGAAGCTTCGCTGTGAGTATGAAAGCACTTCACATGTCTTCTGTACATCGTCACGTCGAGCAATCACTGACCCGTGCCGTTTCTTTCAGTCGCTTTCAGGATCTACGACATGGACAAGGACGGCTACATCTCCAACGGGGAGCTGTTCCAGGTGTTGAAGATGATGGTGGGCAACAACCTGAAGGACACGCAGCTGCAGCAGATCGTGGACAAGACCATCATCAACGCAGACAAGGACGGGGACGGGAGGATATCCTTCGAGGAGTTCTGCGCTGTGAGGAAACCTCATCTTAAACCATTACAACTTATGTATTTTGAACAATGTGTTTGTACAGGTGAAACTCGAAAAATTTGAATATCCTGCAAAAGTTCAGTAATTCAACTTAAAAGGTGAAACTAATATATTATATAGACTCATTACATGCAAAGTGAGATATTTCAAGCCTTTATTTGTTATAATTGTGATGATTATGGTTTACAGCTTATGAAAATCCCAAATTCAAAATTAGAATATTGTGAAAAGGTTATCATATCTGTAACCAATAATCATCACAATTATAACTTGAAATATCTCACTTTGCATGTAATGAGTATATATAATATATTAGTTTCACCTTTTAAGTTGAATTACTGAACTTTTGCACGATATTCTAATTTTTCGAGTTTCACCTGTATATATCTTTTTAATATTTTATTTGAACTTTTAAGTATAAACTCAAAATAGATTTGCATGTAAAAAAAAGTCTCGGAATTGCGAGAAATAATAGTTTATATCTCGTAGTTTTGGACTTTATAACTCACAATTGCAAGTTTATTTCTACGGAGCTCCAACATGACTTGGACAAAAAAATATATATATATATATGTATATTTTTCATTCTCTCATTTTAGTAAATCATGGCCATGTTGAACTAATTTGTTCGCTCATTTTGATGTAACTAAAACAATGGAATTAGTTATGACAATGTGGCCACAAGTAACGTAAAACGTATTAGTAAATCATAGATGAAGTAATTCATGGCCACAACATACATATTTTTGGTCCAAACGTTATGTATAAAATTCCCAATTACCCTTTTTTTATTCTGTGGTGAAAATGAGCTTCCATAATACTCAAACTTGCATCATTATGAAATTTTATTAACAATGTTTCTTTCAGTTTCTCATTTTGAATGTTATGTGGCCTTTGTCATTATTAATGTAAATACTCTTAAATTTGTTGTTTTTAAGGGCATTTATATGACAACGATGTACTAAAAACTGAAAACTTTTTCCGGTAACACTTTACTTGAAGCGGTGTGCATAAGACTGACATGACACACGTCATGAGTATGAAGGAGGGTTTATGCATGTTTATGACAACTGTCATTAAGTGTCATTCACTCAATTATGACATTTTTAATGCAAATATGACATTGTTTGAGATGTCTTTGTAATGACACCTTGACATAAACCAATACATCATAACCTGTCAGTGTCTTGGTAATGACAACTTGACATTACTAAGTCATAAATATGTCATAAACATGACATAGCAGATTAATTATCTAACTTAAGAAAGCACTTAGCTTTATGGGTTAACATTACATTAAACTGTCAGGTGGTTGGTTTTGACATTGGCTGTCATGAGGCCATTATAACATTTTAATGACAAATTCAATTTGTACCACTGTAGTTGAGGTCACGAAAAATATTCATGACACAGTTATAATGGCCTTATGACAGCCAATGTCAAAACCAACCACATGACAGTTTAATGTAACGTTAACCCATAAAGCTAAGTGGTTTCTTAAGTTTGATAATGAATCTGCTACAGACAACAACGTCCCCGTTTAACACAGATCCGCAAAACTGACTAACATCCCTGTATTCTGCTGTCAGGCCAGTGGATGGCGATGTTACATTGTAAAAACGTCACTGTTTTCAGGAAATCACGTTTTGTAGTTTTCACAAAGACAATAATAGTATAGTCTTCAAAGAAACGTGCACTTTGAATCCCGTTTTCCAAAGTTTGCATGTTGTCGTGTAAACGAGCGGCCAAAACGCATAAAACGGCCCCAAAATTGGCTGATACTTGCATGTTTCATAAGCCTGAGGAAGGTCAGCTGATCATACTGTGGGACACAAATGTTTTTGAGTTGATGTTGAACTTTTATCCGACGCACCTACGAATGATTAAAGTGCACGAGGCTCTAAATTTTCTATAAAATAAGTATAAAAATTAGGGATGCATGATATATCGGTCGCCATATCGGTATCGGCCGATATATGTTCATTTTTAATGCTATCGTTATCGGCCTGATAAGAAAATTTGGCCGATATATTAAAGCCGATGTATTATTTCCTTCAGCTGAGACACTTCAGAGGCGAACTGTTCATCATGATGGATTTTAATTGCTTGAAATACGATTGGAATCACACTATGAAGGAAAATAATGTTTAGTGGGTAACACTTTACTTGAAGGGGTGTACATAAGACTGACATGACACCTTCATAACCATGACATGACATATGTCATGAATATGAAGGAGGGTTTATGCATGTTTATGACAACTGTCATTAAGTGTCTTTTGCTTAATAATGACATTTTGAATGCAAATATGACATTGTTTAAGATGTCTTTGTTATGACAGCTTGACATAAACCATAACATCATAACCTGTCAGTGTCTTTGTCATGACAACTTGACATTAAATTAAGTTAAACTGTCATGTGGTTGGTTTTGACATTGGCTGTCATGAGGCCATTATAACTGTGTCATGAATATTTTTCGTGACCTCAACTACAGTGGTACACATTGAATTTGTCATTAAACAGTTATAATGGCTTCATGACAGCCAATGTCAACACCAACCACCTGACAGTTTAATGTAATGTTAACCCATAAAGCTCAGTGGTTTCTTAAGTTTGATAATTAATCTGCTATGTCATGTTTTTGACAGGTTGTGTTGTCAAGTAATGTCAAGTTGTCATGACAAAGACACTGACAGGTTATGATGTATTGGTTTATGTCAAGGTGTCATAACAAACACATCTCAAACAATGTCATATTTGCATTAAAAATGTCATAATTGAGCAAATGACGGTTAATGACAGTTGTCACAAACATGCATAAAACTTCCTTCATATTCATAACATGTGTCATGCTTATGAAGGTGTCATGTTAGTCTTATGCACACCCCTTCAAGTAAAGTGTTACCGTTTAGTGCAACATGTGTCATAAAGTTTTAATGAGAACATCATTATAATTGTGTGTGGGACTTGTCTTTTAATTGTTTTTGTTATAATTATTAAAAAAAAAACGTTGGATGTTAGATTTATCTGCCGATATATCGGTTATCGGCTTTCAAATATAAAGAATTATCGGTTATGGACCAAAAATTTTCATATCGGCGCATCCCTAATAAAAATATGATATTTCAGCAGAAGGTATAGTCGTTCTGAATAAGTGTTTAGAATGGTGTCCATCTCCTCACGAATGACCCGGTGTCCCGCTGCAGGTCGTGGGAGGTCTCGATATACACAAGAAGATGGTCGTGGATGTGTGAGCGAGTCCGTCTCTCTCCACCAGACCCGCTTTCCTCTCATCTCTGACGATCTGCTCAAGATATCCAGCAAATGCTCTCTGTGTATTTCAATGGAAGTATTTAAGCCACTTTTGTCAAATAGAAGCCTTGTCAAGCCAACGTGTGAGTGTTATTGACCTCCGATCTGCTCAATAACCTGCTGTAGCACTTTATGGGCTCATGGACACTGAAAGAGCATGTCAGGTAAAGGGGAAAGAGCATTGGCTTGTCCATATTTATTTAGGGGTTTTTTGTTTTGTTGAAATGCTTCTTTTTTAATATTTATTTTGTTTCATCTTTTTTTTTTTTTTTTTAAATTAAGTATAATATAAATAAGTATATGTAGGGTATGACGTGCCAAGCAGAACAAACAAGCTTGTTCCATTGCATGACGTAAAGATGCAATGTTTGCTTTTTTTCCTGTTACGCTTTGTGATATAATCTATTTCTATCATTCTAGCATTTTGGATTTTAGCATCTAACCATGTTTAATACCTGTTTTTGTATTAATCGTGATATAATGTTTATGTATAAATGTTTATATTGTTGGAAAGTGCATCTTCATCATGTCTGATTCGTTGAGACAGTCCAACAGAAACAAAATACGATTTGGTTCATGTGAAAGTGTAACGACGTCTGTCCACATGAGAATCCCAGCATACGGTGGTCACAAGTAGTATTTGGACGCTAGATTCACAATAACAATGAATGTCACAGCAATAGAAAACTCAATGTCAAAGCAAGATTCATCTGCAAGATCTTTCCTCAGCATTAGCTTCAGTTTTCTGCGACGTCACATTAAATAGGCAAACTCAGAAACCTTGTTTTTAGCGACACCGGTGGCCGTTGAGTGAACTGCAGCCAGAAACGCATGGCTAACGAGACTGAACATGATTCAAAGGTCTTTTGCTTAGAAGTAAAACGTTGTAGTAAATACCTTTGCAACGATAAACCGCTAATGAACACCCTGAAGTAGATTAATATATAAATATGTGCTGGTTTTTCCTCTCAATAACAAATCAAACACAGTTAAAATGACGCAAATAGAAAGCATCAGTTCAGAAAGCATCTGATCCTAGAGATGTGGAAGTGTTTACAGCAGCTCTGAGACTCGCCGGCATCATGTCCACACATGACCTCATGATATTTGGATTATAAAGTCTATTTGACATTGACATTACAGTACAGAAGCTCTTTTGGCATTCATCTAATGTCATTGAACGCGTGTAAACGTCACATCCTTTTGATTTCTCCGGCTAAAACGACAGTCCTCGCATACAAATCTACAGGCTTTCGTTGGAAGTCAGGGAAGGTCTCGCTTTTTTAGGTTTCGTTACAAGCTGTTCACACATGGGCAATAAAAAAGCGATTAATAGATGAAAATTCTGGTAACACTTTACAATAAGTACTAAGAATGAACTGCACTTATTATCTTTGTTAATGTTAATTTCAATATTTACTAATACATTATTAAAATCAAAAGTTGTATTAGTTAACTGTGAACAGCTGTATTTTTATTAAATAAAATAACGAACGTATTGCTCATTGTTAGCTCATGTTGGTTAATACATTATCTAATGAACCTTATTGTAAAGTGTCACCAATAATCGGATATAGTTCTGCTAACCAAAGCTAGCACATTGAATCTAACAAACCTACATTTGCTCGTCGGTTTTGCTTGAATAAAAACAGGCTCTCTTGCAATGACGCTTGCGTTGATATTTCATATAATGTGGCTGAAGTGTCCAACTCTTTCTGGGACTGCGGTGTATCTGATAATCTATAAACACACGGATGATTTTCATGTCCATCTTTTGTAAACTCGCATGTAAATGCAGCAGGAATACCCTCGTGCTTCGGTAAACGTGTGTATTACACAGTACATGAGCTTTAAAGCATCTTACGATTGGTGTAGTCAAGTATATTTCCAACAAGACTGTGGCTTAAAGTTATACATGAATTGACTCTGAATGTTTACATGCATGACGGGAGCAGCTTCACCAAACTCATCTCTGGTTTACTCGGATCTCGACATATCAACCAATCTCTGACAGTAATGCTCACTTCTGCTGTGTTATCCAGGTCCTTTCTGCATGTTTTTCAGTTTAACCTGTTCCAGCCGTTTACACGTCAGCTGTGAAAGTTCTCTCGATGTCAGAAGAACCACGAACACATTACAGATGTTGCCAAATTAGACACAAACTTTTCATCCGGTCATGTTCGGCTCATCATTTGCCCTTTGTCTTGTAAATACACATCTTTATGCTTTAAGAAAATAATTTTCCTGCAACTTTTGCTGAATGAAATGGGTATCTCGTACACATAAAGGCACAGTACACACGTCAGTTATGGGATGTCTATTCTGCATGCTGCATCAAATTAACTTCTGTGGGATATATGGACTACTTGATGATACTATATGAAACAATAAACATTTAAAACTTGACTACTGAATGGATCCACACGCGTTTTCATTCATGATGTGTTTATTCTCTTAAGGATCAGTGATGATGCATTGATGAGGAGTCGGTCCATTGGTGTTCGAGATCGTTCATCGTCTGCTTCGGGGATATTGTGAGAGATATATAGATATATCTGCAGTGTTTCTGGATCAGTTCATGATGTGAGAAAGGGTTTTAAAACCTCTCCGCTGAGCGACTCGCCACGGCACGGATGTTGCTGTACACCTTCGATGGTGGACTCCCTGTAAAGGTTAAATGGCATCAGAATTATTTCCTGTTTTTTTAGATGCAGAAATTAAAGTGCTCCCATGATGCTTATTTTATATGATCTACAATATGGCCAGGGTTTGAAATGGACTTGTTCACCCACCGGCCAATTTGGCTACACAATTTTTAAGTTACCGCCGATTCAGAACTTCTACTAGCCAAAACTAAAAAAAAGATAAATGACCCAGATCAACTACATCACATACAGATTATGAAAACCCCAAATTCAAAATGAGAATATTGTGAAAAGGTTTTCATAAGCTGTAAGCCATAATCATCAAAATTATAACAAAGGCTTGAAATATCTCACTTTGCATGTAATGAGTCCAGTGGTGGACGAAGTACACATACCATGTACTTGAGTAAAAGTAAAGATACTCAAGGTAAAATACTACTCAAGTAAAAGTAGAAGTGCTGCCTTTAAACATTCACTTGAGTAAAAGTACAAAAGTATTTGCCTTCAAATGTACTTAAGTATCCAAGTACTTTGATTTTTTTATGGCTATAATGTCCTATTATAATTTGTCACAAGACTCTTGCTTAACTCAGTCTAAGTGAAGACTAATGTCACTCTTGGCACACCAATCTATTAATAAAATGACATTAGTAAGTCTGATAGATATATATACTGTATGTATATATATTTGAATTTAATAAATTTTTTGTGTGTTTAATTTTGGAGGGAAGGGGATTGTTCCCATAAGGTATAAAACATTTACAGTATTTACTGTATATATTTTTCTCCAGCACCTGTGGTCATTATTATTAACATCTTAATGTTATGATACATTCACATAAACCTGCACAACGCCATTAAATATAAATATATATATATATATATATATATATATACACACACACACCCACATATTCACACACATGAGTGCGCGCACACACACATATACATATATATATTCTATGTTATGGGAGCCAATTTCCCTCCGAAATTAAACACAAAAACGTATTAATGCAGTGTTTCTGCTAGGCTAACGTTACTCCCCAGAAAAAAAAGCTATTACATGCAAGTAATTTTAGTGGCAACGTAAGCAATGTACATTATGCGTCAATACTTACCGATAATTGCTGCAATAATAGCTGCTGCTCTCTGTCCCGCTTAAAATCATCAACGAGATTTGTTCGGAACTATTGAGAGCTACACGAATAACGTGACCGCGCGGCGGCGAGATCACTGTCACAACCATCTATGTTCGCAACTCTCATTTAACGGCTCTGGTTCGCGCTTAGTAGATACCGCCAAGGCAAGTTCAAAACAAAAGCGCACGCTGTACTGTGATTGGTGGCTCGTTCGACCAGTTACGTTTTTATCCACTCATAAATAAAAAGGAACGACTGATTTTGAAAATGTAGTAGAGTAAAAAGTAAGATATTTGACTTTGAAATGTAGTGGAGTTAAAGTAAAAGTCTCCCAAAATTTAAATACTTGAGTAAAGTACAGATACGCAAAAAAGCTACTTAAGTACAGTAACGAATTACATTTACTTCGTTACTGTCCACCACTGAATGAGTCTATATAATATATTAGTTTCACCTTTTAAGTTGAATTACTGAAATAAATGTGTGTGTTCAAGTAAGCCAGAAATGAGCAGATTCTGCGCAATACGCTGTATTTAATATATCATGATGACTCATGAGTATGTGCGCTAAATCTGCACAGGTTTGGATTATATATAATAAGTAACGCCAAACCGGCTCATGATTTGACAGCGTTACTCGCCATGGTTGATTATTACCCACATTTAGCAGGAGTAAATTTCAAACCCTGTATTTGACATTGTCTAAAAAAGTTTCAAAGATAAGTGCAGAAAAATGGAGTTATTCTCTTAAAACAAAGAAGTGATTCTGAACTGAAGCGAGTCGTCAGTAATTCAGTCTCACTTCCAGATGAACCTGTGTAGGTTTGTAACTAATTTGCATAATGCCAGCCTGTGGTGTTGATAGGCTGATCAGCGTCTCTTAGCTCCGCCCTCAATCACTGTAGTGTATCTGAGACTGGGAGAGTTGGGTTCGTGTTGTTCGTGTCGAGAAGACGCTGTTTTCTGCTCACAAAGCAAATCCACTTTGATGAGATTGATACGGTGAAACCCTCGCCATCGTTACTGTTCGTATCACTGTGATCAAGAGCTGAGATTCACATATGATAATGAGCGTTTGCTTTCTGACCAATCACAGCAGAGCAGCTCTCAGAGAGGCGGGGCTTAGAGAGACTGAATCTTTATCGGAGCGTTTCAGACACTGAGAGAAAGAGCTGACGCTGCAGTGGAGATTATGAGTTAAATAAAGTGTTTTTGACCTTAGATGCGTTTAAACCTGTTGTAGGAGACATTAGGGACCTTTAAAATGGCACAATAGAGGCACTTTAAGCGTTACATTTTCACTCACCGAGAATAAGGTTGCATATCGCTGTCCGTGCCATTTTAATATTCTGGAAAGATCCCAATATATGAACCTTCCTGTAAAGAAAAAAAAAAATCAACTATACTAAATATATATGTATATTGAGTATATATATATTTTTATATATATATATTTTGTTTCAATTAATTAATTTATAAATATATATATTATAAACATTTTTAATTAATTGAAATAAATTACATATACAAAAGAATATATATAAATCCCCAGCCCAAAACAAACACTAAGACATTCTAGAATTCCTGTTAAAATCCATGAAATTGACCGAGAGAGATTAAAACACCCCAGTAGTGTCACACTCCTGTGCACTCACGTGTCTGCGAGCACAATCCGGGTTTTCGTCACGTTCTCGATGGTAAACTTGGTTTTTCCTCCTTTCCCTGCTATCCTGCCGATGGCTCTGGATAAATGATCTCCTTTCAGAGGTTTAACTGCAGAAACACACACAGTTCAGCGAGAGAACCACATCACGCTTATAAAACAGCTCCGGCTGATGACTCACCATCTGTGACATCAAACGTTTCCAAAAACAGCTCATCTAGTCTGATCAGAGCGAGCGCGTCCTGCGGAGTTACACACAATATCATGTTATATCATCCCTGCACGGCCGGGAATAACACCTTTTACTAATAACAGCATAAACTACTGACAGCACGGACTGAGTGACACCTCAATTAACTAGATTTAAAACACTTTTCAGCTTTTTTGACAAGTTTGTTGTCAATCAGATACAAAAAAACACTTATTTAGCAAAACCATTAAATTTATCTAAAGTTGCTGTAAAAGTAAAGTTGATCACAGGAATAAATTACATCGTACAATATATTCACATAGAAAACAACCGTTTTAAACTGCAACATTCACAATATTACTGTTTTTACAGTATTTTTAACCAAATAAATGCAGAAGTGTAGTTAGGGTTACGCAGAAGAGTAATCGCACTGAAATGTCCTAAACCGGGTGTGTTTTACCAAACAAAGGAATCATCATCTAAACCTAACCACTGCTGGCAAGTTAGTTCAAAATATTTAAAGTAAGAAATAAAGCTTTTAAAACTTTTATATATCAAAAAAAGCCACAGAAACACCTGTAACATTTTGAGTGATGACAAACAAATCGGTGATAATTTATTCATTAAAGAGACAGTTTGAACTGAACCACCATTGTGCATCTCAGAGTTATTAAACAAATCTCTGTCTTAATATCCATATCCAATGACTGGGTCATCTGGAAACATATTGGCATAAATGTTAACGTTTTTTATTATTAAAATTAGTGCTGGGCAACGATTAATCACGATCCAAAATAAAAGTTTGTGTTTACAAAATACATGTGTGTACTGTGTATAATTATTATATATATATATATATATATATATATGTAAGAACCATGTGTTATTTATATATAATATAAATGATGAATAAATATATATACAGTATATACATACAAATATTTCTTAAATATATACATGCATGTGATATGTGTGTATTTATATATACAAAATAATGATACACAGTACCATAGGCGGAAATCGCGGGGGGGTCGGAGGGGTCAGGACCCCCCCTATCTGAGGGTTGACCCCCCTAAAATATCATTAAAATATGTGTGTTGTAAATAAAATAATGATATATTCTTAAAATAATTGTTTAAGAAATAAAATAATACGAATGCAAACGGGGCAACAACAAAAAAAACGTTTTAAACATTTTGAGTCCCCCCTCCCTTGCCTCACAGTGCTTTGGTCCACTGCCTCCGCCCCTTTTACCTCACAAAAGGTCAAACGCACGCTCTCTCAGTTTAACTTCGATCAATAGGGTGCCAGATTTCTATAGAGCCTTCCAGGCGAAAACCCGGCAAAAAATTCTTCAAAACCATACATTTTTTGTAAATAAGTTGTTTAAACAAAACAACTTATTTACAAAAAAATTCTGGTTTTGAAAAAAAAATTTTGGTCAATTTAGTCAGCTTTTTCATTAAACCAGAAAGAAACTTTGAGAAGAAGGATAATGGAACGGTCTCCATGCTACACTAATAATAGTAGTAAGGCTTTCCTCGGTGTACACGTATCCTTGCAAGTACAATTTTGCCTGTATTATTGGTGTCCCCTTCAAAAATTGCTCTTGAGAATTGTTATGTTTATTGTCCCCCCCAACATTGTGATGAAATTTTCGCCCCTGCACAGTACACACATTCACTATGTAAACACAAACGTTTGTGTTGGATGTGATTAAGCGTTGCACTGCCCTAATGAACGAGTCCCGGAGCGCTCGCTCACCTCCACCTGAAAGCCCAGGACGAACGCCTTGACGAAGTCTGCAGCTCTGGTCAGAGAACTGATGTCTTGAGTTTCTTTACACGTCTGGAAAACAAGAGCACTGGGTGTTTTACTGCGGATCTGACAGCAAATGTGTTTATTTTCCAAGCATTCTTCGGTTTTTAGGGATAGCTCGGCCTAAAATGAAAAACAAGTCATAATTTACTCACCCTGGTGTTGTCGCCCTTCTTTCTTTTGCGCACCACAAAACGAGAATAATTTAAAAAAAAACGTCCTGCACACAGTGAATTGACGACGCGTGTAACATCGGACCATCCGGAGATGCTTCTGCAGCTTTTTTTAACCCTCTGATGCTTTTTGCGTGTCGGACAAAAATTACAGATTTTTTTGTTTCAATGAAATGATTGTACTATATTTTAGTTCAATTATGTTTTTTATGAAATATTTTGTATTTTTAGGGGATTTTATGGTACTAAGATATATTTACGCTGTATTTATAATCCATTTATTTACTTTTTGAACATAGAAAATAAAATTTCCAACTTAAAGTGAGGTAAATCTGGAATGCTTTAAAGCCCAGACTGAAGTTTGATCTCTTTTCAAAGACGACACTTGCTAGATTATTGCTGAAGGGAAAAAAGTTAAGTCAACTTAACAATAAACATAAAATTCAGTAACTTTTTTATGTAAAAAGCACAAAAATACTATTTTCAATTTTCAAAAACACATCCAAAACGGCAAGAAAATCAAATCCATAAACAAACAAGAAATTCGTCTCCCATTCATTTCCAATGCGCTCATTTATGGCCGCGAGGAGCACAAGTGACACTATTTCAGGACATTAACCTGTTCCAATCATGCGCATTATTATTATTTGTGTTCACACAGCAAGTGCCAAAACCTTACAAGTTTCGTACCATTCCAATTAAGCAAAAAAAAAAAACTAAACGTACATTTTTTTTATTATTATTCTCATTTTGTGGTCCAAAGAAGATAGAAGGGCGACAACACCAGGGTGAGCAAATAATGACTTAATTTTCATTTTAAAGTGAACTAAACCATTAAGGTGCCGATTCTCAGTTAAAACATAACTGATAGCTAATGCTAATGGTCATCACTCACTTTGATCTCGACGTGTCTTGTCCTGAGATTGAACCGCACTTGAAGCAGCAGGTTCTCCACGATGGGTGTGTATATCTTCATCCAGTTCTCTTTGAGAGGTGTGTATCGGTGAGCGGGAACAGACACTTTACGCATCTCATCCACACCTCCCTGAAACACACAACGCGCTTCAGATTGAGAAGCAGACCGAACCACATTTCTTACACATAATAAATCAGAACCAAGTCAGTCTAAACTGTCATATTTATGAGATGAAAAGTCTCATAAAATTATGACAGAGACACAGTCAAATTTAAAGTTTTAGTTCACCCAAAAAATGTTTTATTCTCATGTCGTTCCAAACCTGTTTGACCTTTATTCATCTTCAAAACACAAATTAGGATCTTTTTGAGGAAATCTGAGAGATTGTTGTCCCTCCATTGACAGTCAACGCAACTACCGGTTTGATGCTACAAAAAGTTCAGTAAGGTCTGTTCTCTTTGTTTATGTCCGCTGATCAATGTTTATATGCGAGTAAAAGCCTGAATTTAACCTGTTCATCATATAAAGTGATCAAATCTATTCAGAAAATGTGGACTAAACCATTCAATTCATATGGATTAGTTTTACGACATCTTTATGAACTTATTGAAGCGTCAAAGATGTAATTGTGGAGCTGTCAGAAAGCTCTCAGATTTCATTAAAATATCTTCATTTGTGTTTGGAACGACATGAGGGCGAGTAAATTATGACAGAAGTGTCATTTTTGGGTGAACTAAGTTATCCCTTTAATTATGAATATCATAATTTCGACTTTTCAGCTCATAAATATATGAGTCACAATTTCTGTCTTAATTATGATTTACAAAACTATCCCTTTAAAAAAGATACATAGATACATGAATTAACTTTTTGAGGCGATCAATTGAGTGTACAGAACTGGCTCGGATTACATTAACAAATAGATCTTCATTTGTGTTCCGAAAATTAATGAAAGTCTTACTGGTTTGGAAATTATGACAGCTGAAATTGTGGCATTAATTAATAAATTTAGACATATATCAGAAAGTCATAATTTTGCCCTTTTATCTCATAATTGTGACTTTGAATGTGTTCTATAGGAATGTGAGGAGAGTGGGCAAAATGAATCAGTTATTGGGTCGAGAACCGCTTAGACCGATTCAATCGTTCGGAACCCGTTCGATCACTAAAAAGATCCGACTCAAAAGATTCGTTCGTTCACTGGTCAAATATAGATACATCGTGGAATCAAGAAGACGGTGTTTACAGTGCTGGACACGGTCCATACCTTGAGCTGGTCTCCAGATAAGGCCGGGAACTGCGGTCTCTTGGCCGCCACTGAATCCTCCTCCTGCATGTTCACTTCAGACGAGGCTCGCTTGCGTTTATGACTCTTCTTCGACTTCACTTTCTGAAACGCGTCTGTGTTTCCATCGCAGTCCATAACAGTAGAAGTCACCTCCGCTGTCGTGTCACTTACAGACTCCATCGTCAAACGAGGTTTTAAAAACGCACTTCAACAAAGATGTTTACCACGAACATGTGGCGGCGTTTGCCATGTTACACTCAAAGGACCTCATTGCTGCCCGAGCAGTGCCAAATGCGACTTCTGCTTTTTACAATAATCATACATTTCCCTGTTAGCTACAAAACGTATATGAACTGTTACTTTAAAACAAAAGATAAAATAGTCGAGTGTTATAGTCTATTCGTTTTATGAAGATTTTCTGTTAATTTTGATCAGGCTATAAGTAGGTCAGCTATGTGTTGTGGGAGGGTCCTTAAACGCGCTGATCAAGCAACACAACTGACATCGCCTGTCTTCTGCTCAAACTGGTAGTGTTCTCGTGTTTAATTGACAGTAAAAGCACCATGTCAGCAGCCCTCGAGAAGCCGCAGATCATCGCACACATCCAGAAGAGTTTGAACTACACGGTGTTTGAGAGCAGATGGATTCCCTGCAGCGCAAAGTTTGTGTGTATGGGAAACTTCGCCAGAGGAACCGGAGTGATGCAGATCTACGAGATCCAGCACGGCGAACTGAAGCTGGTCAAAGAGGTTTGAGCTGTTTAACTTTACCTCAGACTAATGAAGACTGATTCACGGTCACTACTAGCGGATGAAGATGAGCGCCTTTCTAGAAAACTCGTGTCGCGTGGTTGTCATGGCAACGGAACGCGGTTTGTTTACACCGCGACCTCTTAACGACTTCTAAAATCTCAGATTTAGCCAGTTTACTCTCGTCCTCTTTTGAGCGTAGACGTGAACATGCTCTATAAAAACATAAATGGTTGTAATTCATGAACTCTTTGGAATAAATACCTACGGTTTGTCTATTTTTTTAAAAGGATAATCTGCACAAAAAAAAAAGTTATGAAAGTTTAGCATATGTACTGTACTGTAACTAAATCTTCTGGGGGGGTTTTGTGTGCAAAATAACACACCCTTAAACCCTTAAACTTAATACAATAAGATCACTGTATGTAACTTAACAGTTTATTTTGATCTACATAGTACATAGTAGTTAAAGGCACCTAATAAACACTGGTAACTTTCCAGTGTGGGTTTATTGACGTGTGTATGTATGTTGTCGTGTTTGTGTTGTCATTTGTGTTTGTGTTGTCGTGTGTGTGTTGTGTGTTGTCGTGTTTGTGTGTGTTATCGTGTGTGTGTGTTATCTTGTTTGTGTTGTGTTTGTCATCGTGTGTGTGTGTGTCATCATCGTGTGTGTGTGTGTGTGTGTACCTACTTAACTATATTTTGGGGACAAATTTGTACCCAGAAGTCACCAAAATCTCCAAAAACCTTCCTTTAGGGATTGTCCTCATTTGTATTTTTTACATATAGGTTTTTTTGAAAATGTAAAAATACAGACATTTTTGTGTAATGGGTAGGTTTAGGGGTCGGGTTAGTGTAAGGAGAGAGAATATGCAGTTTTACAGTATAAACACCATTACGCCTATGGAATATCCCCATTTAGATAGCTAAGTAAACGTGTGTGTGTGTGTGTGTGTGTCCATTTCAAACCTACCTTATTCCAGATCGAGAAGCCGAAGCCGATCAAGTGTGGCACGTTTGGAGCCTCGTCTCTCCAGCACAGGCATCTGGCCACCGGAGACTTCGACGGAAACCTCAACGTCTGGTAGGATCTGAATGTGTTCCAGCATCCAGACTGAGACGTTACAGTAACGAAACGTGAAACTTAACCTCTGCGTTGCAGGAACCTCGAAGCGCCGGAGTCCCCGGTGTACTCGGTCAAAGCACACAAGGAGATCATCAACGGTGTGGATGGAGTGGGAGGACTGGGCATCGGGGACGGGGCCCCGGAGATCCTCACCGGCAGCAGAGACGGTCACTTATCATCTCACACACATCCAACATTTACCTTAGTGTACTTGCAACTCTGAGACTACTGCTTAATATCTGCTTAACACTTAATTTCGATGCTTAACAACAGACATTGCAACTACATGTCAACTTTTTCTACTAACCCTAACAGTCTACTAATACTCTAATGAGAGTTAGTAGTTGACATGTAGTTGCAAAGTTACTTGTAGTTGATATAATGTCTAAAGTGAACTGTCAAAATAAAGTGTAACATAACATTTTCAACAAGTGGAAATAAAGTATCTAACTAAGTATTTAATAGGACTATAATTGAAATTGGAGGTGGTGTCCTCACATTAAGGCTACGTCTACATTAATCCGGATACATTTAAAAACGCTCTCTGTCCACACTAGCGTGTTCACCTGAACGCCTGAAAACGCTACAGCGCATACGTACATCCTCACAAAACCTCACTGAGATGATATACAGATGGAAATTCTTCTGACAGGATAATTTTATTTAGAAAAATATCTCATGATTCACTGATCGTCCAGGTCGCACACACACACACACACACACACACACACACACACACACACACACACACACACACACACACACACACACTCACCATTATATGTTTGGTCTGAAACTGCTCGTGTTTCGCCACAGGACAGCAGATGTGAGTGAATCTTCTGTCATCTTTGCAGGACTGTGATATGAAGAGTGTGTGAAGGATATTTTAGCAACTGTGTGAAAGTGAACAGCACATAACTGGCACAATACCGGTATAAACATGAATATCTATGGGTTCAATACGCGTCACATGACTAAACTTACATCATCGTTTTCACAGTCCACATACAACGCGAAAACAGCGTTTTAAAATGTATCCACTTGAAGAGTGTTTTCAAAAAGGTTTGTCTTCATTAATAAAAGCGCTGTCTCAGTGTGAACGGAAGGCCAACATGGGGAGAAAAAGATGCGTTTTCAAACGAAACCGTATTAGTGTGGACAAGGCCTCAGTTTGTTCTCAGTGTTGTTGGATTTGAATGTGTGTGTTTTGCTGAACAGGAACAGTGAAGGTGTGGGACTCCAGGCAGAAAGACACACCTGTGGTGAACATGGAGCCGATGGAGGGGGAAGCCAAGAGAGACTGCTGGACAGTGGCTTTCGGTGGGTATTTTTTTGCGCCCTCATTTGGGCTGCGTCTAGAACCGCCCCCCGAAAAGAGATCCTCTGGCTGGGAGACAGTCCTAGGCGGTCAAATGATCAAAATGATCAAAAGGTCAAAATGAGCCGGTCGTCGAGGTAGTTCAGGATGCGCATTCCCTTCTGTCTCGGGGGGGAAAGTGCTGCATCATGAACTTCGTGAACGTGCACGGGGCTAGGGACAGTCCGAATGGAAGGACCGTATACTGGTAGTAGGGATGTGACGGTGAGAATATTTTCCCACCGACGTGTGACAACACCGGTATCACCGGCGGGGGCTTTTAAATCGCTAATTTAAAGCCAAGCGTAAAATGCGCCCGTTTGCACGGGCATTCAACAATGTTTTGTTGTTGTGCCCCGAATTGGCGCTAATTTGAAAACGAAACTAAAATGTGCTCGGCCGCACATGTCAACCGGAAAAATTAGCGCCAATTCGGGGCGGATTACTTGAATGGTTAGTTCATTAGCCTATTATTCTTAATGAAAAACACAACAACAAAACAGTGCAATGACAAATTCACTTAAATAGGCCCTTTTACATTTCGCTTTGACACATATTCCGCATCACCTTGTCAGTCAGATCCTGTTGCTGATCTGTGCGGCGACTCTGTTCGGCTCACGATTTATTAAGCAGACATGTTCAGTTTAATAGTGTCTGTTCTCTAACTGAACTAAATGATTTTATATAAAGAAAATAATAAATCAAATTGACAGTAGGGGGCGGTGCCGCGGTGGGCAAGAGATGTAACCGGTGTTGCTTCTGAACACCGACTTTTGTAGCAAGCATAACTCGTAGGCCCATATATATCCATAATAAAGGCTAGTTGTCTCGTCCGCGCTGCTGGCCAATGGAGGTCGACGTCCACACCTGGCGGCCATCTTGCCACAGGCAGCTCGCTCACTCGTAACATTGTGTTTTAATGGTGCATGTACTTTTTAAATAACCATAACTTGCTCAATTTTCTACCGATTTTCAAACGGTTTGGTTTGTTATAAACGTCAGAGATGTAGTTATGATACTGCATACTTATAAGTGTATAAATAAATAATCATCCAGAATTATAGCCACGTTAATAATGTTTGTAAGAAACCAAACCGTTTGTAAATCCGTCAAGATTTCGACGAGATAAGAGTATTTGTGTTCGTGCCGATCACTCATCTTACATCAGGCACCACAGAGCCCGCCAGAAAGCTTGACTGTGACAAGATGGCCGCCGGTGATGACGATAGAGACTCCGCCGTAAGACATCTAGCCTTTATTATGGATATCTATGGGTAGGCCACCCCTTCAAACGCGAATCTCAAGAAAGGTCTGTGATGGGGGGCTATCTGGATATAAAAGTAGGCATCTTATAGATCCACTGAGATATACTAATCCCCTGGGCAAACTTGCGTGAGGATTTGCTTCAGGGTTAGCATCTTGATTGGCCGTTTCATAAGGGCCCTGTACAGATGCCGGAGATCTGGGATGGGTCTGAGGCCAGCATCCTTCTTGGGAACAAAGTAGTAGCGACTGTAGAAGCCTGACTCGCTGTGGGGAGGAGGAACTGGCTCATCACTTCGGCGCGGAGGACGCGTGTCACGTCGCTCTTCTCCGAAGTATTGACTATGCCCGCGAGCTAGGCGTTCTGCGAGCGAAGTGAAGCGAGTAATTCATGCCCTTTCTGCCCCGCACGTTAAAGACGTAAAGCCTCATAAGAGCTGCAGACGACACGGTTATTTTTAAAACTGAAACACGTGAGCAGCGTAATAGATTGATACTTTTGCTAAAACGCTTCAGAAAACGAGAATGCAGCAAATATACCGGTAGTTTATTTTTGTATCTGTCATACCGTAGCCTGTGACTCAGACCGTTCAAACCAGGTTTGTGACGACGTTTTCTACATTTAGCATTAGGCCTAATCAGCATGTTAAGAGAATTTATGATAAACAATGTTAGAATTGGCTTTATGCACAGCTTTACTACTTCCTGAACTTCAGCCAGCCCTTTGTTTCCTGTCTGTCATTATTGGACAAACTGATTAATCCTGGTGGAGGCTGGTTAATCAGTTTGTCCAATAATGACAGACAGGAAACAAAGGGCTGGCTGAAGTTCAGGAAGTAGTGAAGCTGTGCATAAAGCCAATTGTAGGGGTGTAACGATGCCCTCATGTCACGATTCGATACATCACGATACTGAACTCTCGATACGATATTAATGTGATACTCCAAGACATATGATAAAAGGTAAAAAAAAACAATAACTGGGTGTGTGTGTAAATGAATAGTGTTGGACTTGGTGCTGAAACCCAAAGCACAGGACAATAGAGACACCAGAATAACAATATTCATGATTCTGAAGCTGAAAACACTGAATTATTTTAGACGAATATGCTTTCTCTGTCACTGACTAGATATATTTATAATAATGTCGGCCACTTTTACTGGTAACATCAGACATCTGGCATTATCAGGACACACAGATATTCCCCCACTGCATTATTATACATTATATTCAACATCATATATAGTAGTTTAATGTAGTACTGACACTAAAACAACTTGGAATTTTTCCACACAGTAATTTTTATTTTGGGTAAATTATACACAATACATAGTCACTATCCATGATACATATTTTGTATTGTGATATATTGTGACACGATATATTGTTACACCCGAGAATTATTTTTTAGAAGGCAAGGAAAGAGAATTTTGAATATTATGTACATTGTTTGTTTGTTTTTAGTACTAATTTTAAGCAAAATACTTTGAGTAAAACCCTGATCAGAGCTGGTGTGAACATCGCCTCCCTGTGATCAGATGCTCTCGACTCTTACCTGCTCTTTTCTCATCGCTGGCGTTGTTGTGTGTGTTTGTGCATCAGAATGTTCTCAAACAGTATTCTAATATTCAGCGGTTTACTTCAGTTTAATCCTGAATGAGGAACAAAGAACTTGCTAAACGAGAGCATATCAGGGCCTTGACGATCTCTTAATGCTGTTGTTGTTGCTATTATTTTTTTACAGCTCTGGCAGATTCTATCATTGTCTAGTTCTAAAGTACAATATTAATAAAATATGTTATAACTGTGCTTTTTTTAGTATCAGAAATCCAAGTATAGAAAATAAAACTAATGGCAACTTTCCTTGTTTTATCTCAAGGTCACGCGTTCAACGACCAAGACCGCTGTGTGTGTGCTGGATATGACAATGGTGACATCAAGTTATTTGATCTTAGAAATATGTCTTTACGATGGGAGACAAATATCAAGAATGGGGTAAGTGTGCTAGGACATATTTCACTTCTGCTTGCTGAAAGTATTTCAGTGTCGATTATTAACTGTCCAACACCTGATCATGAGTGTTTAGAGCGTAGACCTTCATGGACCGATCATCTGTGCTCGAGTACACTTCAGCTACAGTCACGTGAACACACCATCTGATGATCTGATGAATATGATTATCATTCACTTTATCTGAAATAAACACGTGTGTGAGCGGTTTGTGCATAGTGAACATTTTACACAACGTCGTGGTTAAGAAATGATTATATAAATTAGAAGAGCATAAATGTAACAGACTGGCTTTGATGTAACCATCAGATATCATTTAAATGTTATTAATCATATAAATGTCAGATGGACAGGGAATATAAAGTGGCTGAGCAGTGGAGCTGCGCGATTAATCGCTAACAGACCGTGATCTCGGTTCAAACACACACACACTTGATCTTATTCCTAAACGACAGAGATTCGGCTCTCTATTAAACCTTTGATAAGTCGATCACAGGAACATTCAGATGTGTGTCGTTGTCATGAATAGATATGAAACCGTCTTTTCAACATCACAGTATCATTATTATTACAATATCTTACAATCATTCGTATTATCACAGAAGTACTTGGATAAAAGTTTATACTTCGGATATAAACACTATTTTTATCACTTTAGACATCAGAGTAAATCACCTTTTGAAAGTAACTTGACGCTTCAAATAAAGATTGTATCAGTTACATCGTTACACCAGTAGGTGGCGACGGGTGACTGTTGAAAATCTATTTCTCATTGAATCATTCATTCAAGAGATTCGTTCAAAATCACTGATTCATCCAGTAATAAAACAAGTGAAGTCTTTATGAGTGAGCCATTGAATCATTCACTCAAACTGATTTTAAAAAAAATAATTAATTTCAATGAATTAAACATTTTAGATAGACTGCAGCAACTAACGTTTTGTCAGAACCTCTAGTAAACAACATGTTATTTTGTTTAGTCGTCTGTTCAGAATCGAGGTAGAATTGTGATCTCTATTAAAAAAAAAGTGATTCTCAGTTTATCCAGAATTGTGAAGCTCATCAAGAATCAGCATCTGTCCATCATCTGGTCCGGATGCAGCGCCGGCGAGAGCTTTCTTCAGTGTAGTGGGAGGAATCTAGTTTGTGTAGATGCAGTATAATGGATAAACTCACTTTGCACTTCTTTCACAGGTATGCTCTGTTGAATTTGACAGAAAAGACATTAACATGAACAAACTAGTGGCAACATCTCTAGAGGGCAAGTTTCATGTGTTTGACATGAGGACCCAGCATCCCACCAAGGGCTTCGCTTCAGTGTCCGAAAAGGTTCGTTTCACTGAAAGACTGTATACATGTTTGATTTTTTTCTGAATGATGATGAAAATTGTATTTGCCTTCATTTATTCTCTTTCTCACAGGAGGAAACATGCAATTACTATAAATTGGCACTGAAGCTTTTAAGTAGGGCTGGGAGATATGGCCAACAATATTATCATGATATATTTTCCATATCATACCATCTTGATACACAGTATTTATCCCGATATTCGTTTACCAATAATGGGTAAGGCAGTAATGGTAAATAAATGTGTTTATTGAGAGTACAAGTAAACGCCACAATATTTAGGACCCCATGAAATCAATTTCATTTTCTATTTGATTTTTTTCTGAATAATGTTTTGTGATTTAAATCAAATGTTTCATCAAAAATGGTATGGAATGAAATGTTAAAAATTTAATCAAATCCTTTAAAATGTAATAAAAGGAAAATATAACAATATATTTACAGCAAAACATTGCATTTTGATTTTTTGTCAAATAAGGTTTTGTACAACAGAACTTGTATACTGTATAAATTAAAACATGGATGGAACAAAAATCTTAGTTTTATAATGTTCCTTAATATGAATGATAATAATAATATTAGTATGATAAGTACATTTGACTATACAATAGTAATATATTTCTGTCATAATTTCTTTGAGTTAAACCAAACTTTTATGTTTGAGCGTGTTTTTGACTATTCATACTTTGCACGTGACGTCAATAGTACTGGCTGGCGGGCAAGAACGCAATGAAACCCAGTAAACTAATCAAGGATCTTGTCAGAACGTTGCCAGTTTTACTATACAAAAGTTGGTGTTTTGAGCTTTGTGATATCTATGGTTTTCAATGAGAACCAGAGATGACCCAATAGTAGAGCTAGATTATTTGCGGAGGAATTATTACTGCTCGATTATTTAAAAAAATCTTGTCTGCTTTACACAATTTAGCTACCTTGGAGTTAATCCTATTTCTAGTCCATAGTTATGCAGCTAGCTCGCTAACAGACTTGATAGCTACTAAAAGACCCATAAGACCTGGAACTACAGGACTCTACGTTGAAAATACCCGTTTGTTGCCCGCCAGGTATCCATGGTAGTCACGTGACTGCAAAGTATGAATAGCATTCCTCATATGAAACCGAGAACGATAACACTTTTCCCAGAATGAGTCCAATACAGATACTTGCATTTTTCGATACACTCTGATACCACTATATTCACTGCATTTGTAATTTACAAAAAATATTGGGTTGAGAAGCCAAAAGACTATGAATCATATAAGTTGGCTTAATTCGTTTGTTTCCTTCAGTTATTTGTATGCGTAACCCTCTGGGGTCTGAGGTGTTTTCTGGGCCCTGACATCTGTGCTTATTTCTGTTACTTCTAACATTTCCATGGCTAAAGTCTGATTACACTGTATTCACAAACTCTGATACTATAGTATGTGAGCAGAATGCATGGAAAAGTATGTAAAAACATGAAGTTTTCCTGCAATACTGTAGGGAACCCACTTGTTATACATCAATCATGTAACAGCCGATGTTTTTACTACATATATGATTTAGTCTTAATCCAAAAGACATCTCTCTCTCTCTCTCTCTCTCTCTCTCTCTCTCTCTCTCTCTCTCTCTCTCTCTCTCTCTCTCTCTCTCTCTCTCTCTCTCTCTCTCTCTCTCTCTCTCTCTCTCTACCTTCAAGAAACATTTGTAATGGGTGAATCGTTTTAATTCTTTCAATTGGCATATCCGACTGAACTAAGAGGGATGTCTGTGCCGCTGCGCACTCATGATATCGTTCTTCGGCCCAGCCCTATCTTTAAGCTTCAGAAATGGCACAAAAGCAGCCTAAAAGATTGATAAAAGCGGCCTGTGCCATTCGTGTGCTATATCACAGTCTCCTGAAGCCCTGCGATCGCTTTGTGCGAGAAAGAAACCAGTATTTAACAAATAATCGAACCCTACATGTGAGCCGACCGGATCCATTTACTAATAGAAAAGATCTGATTCAAAAGAAAGATTCATTCACAAATCGGACATCTCTTGAGTGAATGTTCAAGATTTTCACTGAATAATGGCTTCAATTTCTGTCTTTGAGCACTCAGAGGAATCACATGGCTTCAGAAGACTTGGATTGTAGCGCATTATTCACTTTTATGATGCTTTTGCTTCCTAAATCTTTGTTTTGCACACTTAACTGTAGAAATGTGACTCTTAAGACTCGTTTGCGCTATGTATTTCAGGCGCACAAGTCTACAGTATGGCAGGTGAAGCATCTACCTCAGAATCGGGACATCTTCATGACGGCTGGGGGAGCGGGTAATCTACATTTATGGAAATAGTAAGGAATTTCTTTAATATTTCGAACATCTAAAGAGTAGGGATGTGTATCGTTTAAATTTGATCGATACTGATACTGCTTATCGAGTCCAATAAGGTAAACAAAAACGTAGATATCATTCACATTTAGTTGACGTCTTATTGCAAAACATGTAAATGTAGCTGAATATCATGAACAGAGATCATCAGGCTGGAGAACACTTACACAAGGAGCGTTTGCCTGTGCTTTAAATATACCATAGAAGAACAACTAGAGTCTAGACTAACTCATGTCAATTCCAAGCATTATTAAAGACAAGTAAACACTGTAATTAAACATAAAATTAGAAATCGGAAAAAACAAATAGATGCATCTGACCAAAGATACGATTGAAATAAACTGTTTTAAGATTTGCAGGTACAGAAACTGTAATTAAATGTAAAAAAACACTGCACATTATAAAATATACATTACAAATATAGTTACAGAAGTTACTCAGTGAAGAACGAGTGAGTATTCTCTCTGTCTTGTGTTGTGTGATTAGTTATTATAGAGACGGCAGGAATATGAGCACTGCCCCTTTAAGAGCTGCACGGGTCCGATACACTGATACACACGAGAACAGAAAACAGAGTCTCGCACTTGAATGGTTTAAAGTCATATAGAAATGCACACAAAGGAATCGATAAGAGGATTTGAAATTTTTGTTTTATAAAAAGTAATGCGCATGGATATCACACGGACGTTGAGCAATATGATGACATTATTCATTGACGGAAAATGACAAGGAGCAGCTTCTAATCCGCTATTAACAGAAGTTCACAGAGATAAAACAACACAAGTATTGATAACCGTATCGTTTGTCCTGAAGCTTGTGGTAGTCCGGCATTGACCCGATTACACACCGGTCCATAAACACAGCGGTTCTCGGCACCCAGACCCACTAGAGTGCTTCATCATTACTCTTCAGTGTGGCGCTGTTCACACATCAGTGCTTTTCCGTTGTTGCAGTGAGTATCCAGCCCAGAGGACTAAGAAGGACTCAGATGAAGTAGACATGGGTGTTGCTGGGTCCGTGAGTCTCCTGCAGAACGTCACCCTGTCCACACAACCCATTTCCAGTCTGGACTGGAGCCCCGACAAGCAGGGTCTCTGTGTGTCCTCTTCGTTCGACCAGTCTGTGCGAGTGCTCATCGTGACCAAACTCAACACAGTCTGAGCTAACGCTAGTGAGCATCTGCACCAGTATTCCCAAACTAATTGGAATATTCGATGACCGTTTACATGCCACATGTATGTCTTAAGTTGATATGTGCAATTATAAAGTTAATGGGTTTTTTAAGAAAACAGTTGTGTTATACTTCTATCTGTGATAGTGACTGTGCTTTGTAGTCAAGTTGCTGTTACTGCTAAGAGGCGTTCTTATACAAAATGTGAAGGTAAAGTTTTTTACAGCAAAAACAACTTGTGTTCGCAATCTTTTATCCGTTTGTAATTACTCAGGCTGACGTCAAACATTTCAATTGGTTTTCAACTCTTCTCTTCTGTAATGCCCACTTATCACGACGCAGTCAATTCCCCACGGTCCCGTACAGCAATTCAACTTAAAAGGTGAAACTAATATAATATATTGACTCATTACATGCAAAGTGAGATATTTCAAGCCTTTATTTGTTATAATTGTGATGATTATGGGTTCCAGCTTATGAAAACCTTTTCACAATATTCTAATTTTGAATTTGGGGTTTTCATAAGCTGTAAGCCATAATCATCACAATTATAACAAATAAAGGCTTGAAATATCTCACTTTGCATGTAATGAGTCAATATAATATATTAGTTTCACCTTTTAAGGTGAATTACTGAAATAAATGAACTTTTGCACCATATTCAAAATTTTCGAGTTTCACCTGAACTGTACTTTCACTCCACTGAAAATATATGCCAAACAATAATGTGTGTTTAATGTTCAGGGTGGGTTTAAACAACGACCACATATATAAAGTACATTCCCTCATTAATAAGATCATATCCAACACTTGCGTCTCCTCATCATCCATGAAACCGTCCTGAATTTCCCTTCAAGTGCTTCAATATATTTTTCAAGTCAACCTTTTAATGCAAAAAAAGTATGTTTAGCATTTTAGCACTAATATTACCCAGTTGGAGACGTAGGTAGGTTGATGGATTGATGAATTGATTGAAGGAAAGAACTAGATTGGTGTAATTCCCTCCAGAAGCGTCTCACACACACACACACACACACGAGTGTGTTCCCGAACGCTAGAGAACACGACTGTGTTTCGTCTGACGCTCGACACACACTCGTTTATGATGGAGGGAAAAAGAGATACTTACAGTTTTATTACTGATATTGTGCACCAGTTTCACAGGAAGTGGCGATTTTGTTCTCTCGAACACATGAGATGGAAACGCTGCTTTATTCGCAAATCTTTAAAGTGATATTTCAATTGTGTGCATAAGTTAAATTCGCTACTTTGGATGTTTACATGACCTGTCTCTCACCCACTAAACATTGCAGTCACAAGACTGAAATATGAATAAATAGTTTATATTTATGAATAAGTCACTTCCAGAAACATATAGCATGGCCAGTCGTCCGATTCACAAATGAAGGACTTTTATGAGCTGCATGTTTTAGTTATTTAAAAGTACCTGTGAGTCATAGCGGTTATGAATCATTTTGACTCACTAACTAGACCTCAAGTTATTATTTTTGTCATGTGTGACTCAAAATAAACCCATAACTGTTATAGTGTTAAATGAACTCAATGCGCATGAGACTCAGATCAGTGTAAATACGGACTGTATGTCGTATGTGTAGTTCAAGAGTATTTGAGTGTTGTTGATTATTTAAGGCATTGTGAGCGTTGTAATTAGTGGCATTCTACATAAATTATTTAATGAATGAATTAAATATTTTGTTTAGTATTTTAATTTAATACAGTTATGAGCAAGTGTTGAATTGCATTTATGCATCTTAAAAATGGTCCTGCATGTCCAGAGTCTCCTCCAGGGGGCAATCAAACTCAACTCCTCGATCCTGAGAAGAAAACAGTTCAGTGTACCCAAGGGTCTCTGATTTCATGACTTCATACATCATTTAGAACTAACGTAAAGAGTCAAGTGTTGCAAAGTCTTTGTAGTGTTTCTTGTTTGTCTCTGTAACACACACATGTGATAGACTTGCTCTTGGAAAGCAAAGCTGCACAACCGAGACACACGTGTAGAAACTGGACGTTCAACAGACACATGATGACATCCAGAGTCCTGATGCTCTTGTCTGAAAAATATCAAAGTGAAATTCAAAAACAAATATGGATTAAAGCATGAAAAGGGACCGAATGTCCATGAATTCTTTTACATACTCGTTGTGCTCATGTGGGACAGAGGATTGACGTATTCAAGACTATAAAACCTTTCGTTAAAAAACTGACAATAAACACTGCTCTAGTGAAAAAAGTATACTAAATATATTCTTCAATAGTACTTTGTCAATATACTAACAAATTTGTACTATCTTTAAATATATTGAAAGTATAGGCATCATGTACTTTAGTATATTGTCTGAAGTGAAAATTCTGTTTATTTTATTTTTTTGCACTTAACTTAAAATATATATTTTAGGTATATTTTTAACTGTGTGATGAAAATGATCATTGTAACAATGCATTGAAAATATACTTTCAAAATACATTATAGTATGCAATTAGTATAATGCTAAGTAATATTTGTTTATTAATGTGTATTTGTTATTGAAGACAAAGTGTGCGATTTGTAGTATTTGGAATAAGCCAAAGGTATTACTGAGCATATACTTTTTACTCAAATATATCACACTCTTATGGTATTGCTTGTATGTTTTGAAGACACTCGTAATGAATTGTAATGTACTTGTCACACAAATAAAGTAGGCCTACACTTTAATATCACTAATCAAACATAATTAGTCCTTACACAGTCACATACTTAAAGTATACTAAGTATAAGTTGTTCCAATTTTGCACACAAAAGTACACTAAATACACACTTAGGACATTCATAAAAGTGCATCTATCCATGATAAAAGTGCAACTGTCCATCATAAAAGTGCATCTATCCATCATAGAAATGCATCTATCATCATAAAAGTGCATCTGTCCATCATAAAAGTGCATCTATCATCATAAAAGTGCATCTGTCCATCATAAAAGTGCATCTATCCATCATAAAAGTGCATCTATCCATCATAAAAGTGCATCTATCCATCATAAAAGTGCATCTATCATCATAAAAGTGCATCTATCCATCATAAAAGTGCATCTGTCCATCATAAAAGTACATCTATCCATCATAAAAGTGCATCTATCCATCATAAAAGTGCATCTGTCCATCATAAAAGTGCATCTATCCATCATAAAAGTGCATCTATCATCATAAAAGTGCATCTGTCCATCATAAAAGTGCATCTATCCATGATAAAAGTGCATCTATCCATGATAAAAGTGCATCTGTCCATCATAAAAGTGCATCTATCCATCATAAAAGTGCATCTGTCCATCATAAAAGTACATCTGTCCATCATAAAAGTGCATCTGTCCATCATAAAAGTACATCTGTCCATCATAAAAGTGCATCTGTCCATCATAAAAGTGCATCTGTCCATCATAAAAGTGCATCTGTCCATCATAAAAGTGCATCTGTCCATCATAAAAGTGCATCCGTCCATCATAAAAGTGCATCCGTCCATCATAAAAGTGCATCTGTCCATCATAAAAGTGCATCTATCCATCATAAAAGTGCATCTGTCCATCATAAAAGTGCATCTGTCCATCATAAAAGTGCATCCGTCCATCATAAAAGTGCATCTGTCCATCATAAAAGTGCATCTGTCCATCATAAAAGTGCATCTGTCCATCATAAAAGTGCATCTGTCCATCATAAAAGTGCATCTGTCCATCATAAAAGTGCATCTGTCCATCATAAAAGTGCATCTGTCCATCATAAAAGTGCATCCGTCCATCATAAAAGTGCATCTGTCCATCATAAAAGTGCATCCGTCCATCATAAAAGTGCATCTATCATCATAAAAGTGCATCTGTCCATCATAAAAGTGCATCTATCCATGATAAAAGTGCATCTGTCCATCATAAAAGTGCATCTGTCCATCATAAAAGTGCATCTGTCCATCATAAAAGTGCATCTGTCCATCATAAAAGTGCATCTATCCATCATAAAAGTGCATCTGTCCATCATAAAAGTGCATCTGTCCATCATAAAAGTGCATCTGTCCATCATAAAAGTGCATCTGTCCATCATAAAAGTGCATCCGTCCATCATAAAAGTGCATCTGTCCATCATAAAAGTGCATCTGTCCATCATAAAAGTGCATCTATCATCATAAAAGTGCATCTGTCCATCATAAAAGTGCATCCGTCCATCATAAAAGTGCATCTGTCCATCATAAAAGTGCATCCGTCCATCATAAAAGTGCATCTATAGCCGCTTTCCGACCAAGTAGTTCCAGGAACTTAGTTATAGGAACTGTCCACTTCTAAACAGTTCTAAGAACTACTCTCCCCCAAACTCGGTTTTGCTGTTTGCGTTCGCACTGGCCAAGTGGCCATAGGAACTGGTAGGAGGGGTAAGGGAGTGACGCAAGCACGGCGGCGGCGGCGGCGCCACATACAACGACAACAAACCAGCGTGGAGGAGGCTATCGGAATGTTCCTGTTCTGCCTTTCCGGGACCTTAATAACGGAGTACGAACGGCGGCGTTTAAAGATCTTGAGTTCTGTACAGAGAAACACAGAAGACGAAGGCTCCAGCGTAATATGATCTTAAGTAATATGATGGAAGAAGATAGAAGAGCAGAGCGCAGGAGGCAAACAAAACGACAGGTAAGTTTAGCAAGCATTAGCAATTAGCTGGTTGAATGCGTTATGTTTGTCTTAAGTTATGAGTTAGCGTAGCCTACATAGGCGAATTGCAACAGACAGTGAAGAAAATGTGTTGACAGTGGGCATGACTTATAAGTTGAACCAATCAACGTAGACCTAGGGAAAGGGAACTAAAAAAGTCCTCGCTCTAGACTAGGTACTGAAAGAGTTATAGGAACTACGGTCTGAGGAACTAAAAAATCCCCAACTTAGTCCGGTCGGAACACGCGGAAAAAAAAGGGTTATAGGAATGTTAGGTTCTAGGAACTGCAAAAGTCCCTCCGGT